GAATAGTGGGATTGACCGTCGCATTATAAGCCCCCACAGATGAAAGGGCGAGCATGTTTGGTGTGAGAAGGCATATTAGTGGTAATATTTTTTGAGAATAAGTTTTCAAAAAACTAGTAAAACAAACTGAACTATCTAGGTTAGCTTGTCTATGCAATTCGTATACATATCTATTAAAAATAACAACATAGTTTCCCAACATTTGGCTTATTTAATCGATGATACAGGTCTAGTATAAAAAGTTTAGGGCAGTGTTTACGAATCATCACAAGACAAAGTTGAGAAGCACTAAAAGTTTTACAGACTGTAAGTCACGTATTTAAGCGTGGGTTATATAGACTAAGATTTAAGCTTGATTTCAGAACGACCTTTTTCTAAACCATTCTTCCCAGAACGCTGGCTCCCTGTTCATGTATTTGAGTTTCGTGTATTCCGATCTCATGTTACAGTGAGTAAAGACCACACGTAAGAATGTCAGACGGCTTGGCCTGGAGCTTCGACTCAAGAGTACGCTCTTTACATAACGTGAGCGGTAGGTAAATAAAACGCACCGTATATCTAGAACAGACAGCACGCACTGATATCACCGCCAGCTTATCGTCTCTGAATAATCTCATTAGATTAGCTGTTTGTTTAACCCAAACATAACTTAGTAACACCCCGGACGCGATCGTTTCTTCAATACACTGACATCTGTATTTAAACAAACTTTTAGTGTTTGGTTGTGTCATATCACAGACGTTTATAGAACTCTTCCCATCTAGAGTTTCTTAAGGAAGGTGTTAACTGCCGTAGGGTTGTTTGGAAGAGTGTTCTTCTTTGTTCTTAACAAGACAAATCAGCGGAACATCTGAGACAAAAATAGTCTGTGGAAAATCGCGTGTGCTGAAAGTACGAACATGGTCACGACTTGGAGGTGGTGCTCCTCGTGGACAGGGTGTAACTAGGCTATATGAAAAGAATCTTTGTGTCACTGGCGTGCAGCAAAGAAATATTCACACTTCGTAAATTATTGTTGTTTAAGTGTGAATCCAGCGCCAAAACCCTGTCCTTAAAAGAGTATAAAAAAGAAACTGTACTCGTACACTAGGGTATAGATGGTTTTTAGGTTATAAAAACGTTTCTATGTGAGCGTTTGTACTTTTGGTAACTCGTGAAACGTAATTATACCTGGAATAACACATGTACAATCTGTTAAAACATCTTTGTAGTAAAAGTGCCAGAAATACACATTCAAACCTATGCTGTTACTAAGGTAATAAATAAAGGTTTATTTTGTAATATTAATAGATATATTGAAATACATGTGTATATTGTAGTTTGGAGACGGCTTAAATATACAACGTTTGAGCATAAATGAAACGTAATTTAAGCATTTAACCTACACGCATATATGTATATGTCATTTAAACACAAATGGGGTCTTAAATATAAGCTCAAAATCATTTTATAAAGAAGTATAATCATGCATGTAAGATTATAAGAAAGCATTTTAGCAAACCAACATCAATACGTATAGAATGTGATGTTTATTGAGTAAAAACGTAGAAACGTGTCTTGATTAAAAAAAAAATGTTTATTTAAGTATAGAATGGAATGATAAACGTAGCTCACAAATTAAAAACGATATGTATATCATAGATGCTTCTCGCATTAAATTAGTTACTAAACGAATACAAACGTCAATGAAAACTTTTGGTACGATATCACATCAGTGAATAAAACAATTTTTCTTTCTAAGATGATTTCAATTCAGACAGTTCAGTCTTGTATACGAAAAGTGAAGATTCCAGACTACTTTAGAATAAAGCTTTTCAAAACTAAAAGAAAAGAAAAATTAAAGAAAATAGGTCATTAAAATAATAGACATGGATCACTTTATGTTTTCAATAACTTTGAGATAATAAAGAAGGCGCTAAAATTATTACCCAGTAAAAGTGTGTTTTAAACTTTAAGCTTTGATACACAATATCCAGTGATGACGTTCCTCTCGAATCTTGATTCCTTTGTGAAACGGCCGTAAACCAAAGTTAACGATCTTCCGGTGTGTATCGATGAATTGTATAGAACATGATGATATAGACACGAAGCTCTAAGCAACCGGATGGCAGGATTTGAATGATTGGAGGAAGTCCATTACCTAAAATCTATTACCGATCCTCCTGAAGCATGGGATGAAACTGTTGCTTGTAGGTGAAACACAAAAGCTTCTTTGTCAGCTCGAATGTTACCGATACGATAAGAGAGGCTTTATTGTTCCGATTTATTGGCTGTTTACGACAATCTGAATTACCTTAGTTTGAAATAGCAAGCTTTGTGAGGTCCTGGAGGAATAATGTGACAGTAGTGATGATATTAAACTTTAGGGTGGTTTCATAGGCTACACTGAAGGTTTTGATTACCTGATTGAAACACGTGTTGGAACGTGGCTACATTCCTCATTCTTGACCCCTCATGTTCTTAAAAGTTGTCACTTCATGATTGTTTTATATATATATATATATAAAGTGGACCATTCATCGTGCTCGCGATTCAAACCTCAAATACTGTTTTTTTTTTATGGATATCAATTTTCTGTTTGATGATCTGCTTTGAACGAAAAAGGTGTTATTACATTAAACTGTATAAACTTTGAAAATGATTTGGAACACAACTTTTGTGCTTGGTCGCCTTTACCCAGCTCATATCCTATTTTGTAATTGGGTCTCGTTTTACTTCTGTTTGTTTTATGATTCGTCGTTTTCGTTGGTTAATTTGTAGTTTTATGTCTAATGAGCCAGTCTTGTCAGATTTCTATAAATTTTGTTATCAGTTCTTATTTTAAAATTTTTATTTTAACACGGTTGAATTTTCTAAACGGTATAACAAATGGAAATAGATTATGAAGTTGTATTTGCTCTAAGATTTCTAGTTATTAAACTCGTTAAGTTAATAACTTTTTTATCTCTTCATCAATTTAGATATACTAAGGAAAGCCATGGACCCAGAAGCTAATAGATACGTGGATCTAAGTCCATACTGGGAGGTAGAAGATGAGGAGTATGATTATTGCGACTGTCCTGGCCCTCCTCCCCCTCCTCAGTTTGTGATTCCTCCTCCACCACCACCTCCTTCTCTTCAGTTATGCCGTGGAGAACATTCAGACTTGCAGTATTGCGAAGCGAAAGCTCTGGGGGCCGAGTACACCCACCCACACTTTCATTCTCTCCCAGTCATCGCCGTAGTATCTTCAGTGGTGCTGGTTGCCATTCTGGTTGCATCTTTTCTTTTATGGAAGTGAGTACTGGTAGCTTTTGTTTTCTTTTTCTACAAGAAGCTAAATAATATACACCATATATTAATAAAGTATTTTGTAATTAGCAATATTTTTTTAATAAGAAATAGAAAAAAACATAATATTCTATGGTACCCGTTATTTATGTACGCCTTCCAAATGCATTTCAGGTTACGAAAACGTAGAGTTTAGTGTGGCTTATATATATCGTAATTGTACGTGTTTTTTTATGAACGTTGTGTGATAAAGTACTTCTTGTAAGGAGACTCTGTGCACGGTTGTGATAATGGACACATACAAACCGAGAATTAAATGGTAAATAGTTACAATTAGGTCAGTTTGTCCACTCAAAGACTAATAATATAGCTTCAAAATGTAGCGAATATGTGAGTCAGTCACAGTTCAAAACCGCCACTCTAGAATATATAGTGTCGTTGAACGTAATGAACAAGAAAACTGCTCTTACGACAATGGCTTGATTACGCCATTATCACCTTGGAAAGAGTAGTGAGCATATATATAGGTCTTTAGATAATTACCATCACGGAACAAATGATACGATCCGACACACTGTACTGTGACATCTCGACAATAAACCTTATAATACAGAAATTGTTAACAAATCAACTAACACGGGACTACCACGTTAAGAAAAAGTGTCAGAAACGAAATTATGTCGAATTATGTTCTATAATATTTGCTTTCTTTATCGGAAGCTTATGAATGGTGTTTTTTAGTCTTGGATTATAGTTTTGGAATATACTTTTTATTTTATGGGTAAAACTTGAGTTTGTGTTCCCAAGCTATTAATGCAACAAAAAAATATTACCCCACTGCTAGATTTTTCTTGAACTATTTGATTAAAAAAATGACAGAGTTTAGGAAGTTTAGAAATATAAATTTTTAGAAATGATTGTACTTGAAATGGTATGCATGTATTTATAAGCTTCATGAATTTTCAAAATGTTGAAAGTTTCTTTTACAAGTTTTGTTTTGAAGAACTTTCGTTTGCCGAACGTTTATTATCTATGTTTACTAGCCGAAAGAAATCCTGTAGCACCTGATGGCATGCAAGATAAAGATTGAAATTAGGATTTCAAACAACACCATAAAAAGAATAAACACCAGGGTTTACAGTTCTAGATTATCCGCTAGGCAGCTCATGTAACGTCACTTATCACCGAATGAATGTCTTCCTCTTGAGACCCAACCCTAAAACACAATAATAAAAAACACACTTGGAATAAAGATGGGTCTTCCCAACCGTATAATTAACTTAAGTTTTACTACTTCTTTGCCCCTCCCAAATTTAGAACATGACAAAAACGATTTCACAGTCTGGTGTGGTTTTATGACTTGACTATGTCTGAAACAATTACACTGTTGTTTCTCTGGGTGGCGACATTTTAAGAAAGGAGATACATTTCATCTGTCTGTCTCTCTGTTAACCTTCAGACATCCGCCTTTAGCAACATCACTCGATATCTGAGTCAACCCTAGAAGAAACTTCACATGCATATTAGTGTGTTTCTATTCTCAGCATTTCACGTTAACCGTCATAGAATTTGGTAGTTTGGGTATTTATCAAAAATAACATTTAAAAAACTATACCAATTTGTTTTTTGACCTGAAACTCTACACACACACACAAATCCAGAGTAATCCGCTATTTGACGGTTTAATACTTGGGTATTTGTTTTTCAGTTTTTCCTTTTTGTAATGAACTATTATGTATAATTATAAATTAATTCATATGAGTAGCCTGGCAGTGGCTAAAGGGTTAGCGTGCGGGGCTACGAATCCGAAGGTCCAAAGACAAGTGGTGATATGGCGTTGAACACGCTTTACACTTTTAGCTAAAGGACTGTTATAATTTATAACTCTGGCTAGTAGTCGTGTAGGTATAGGGTGCTGCCCTCTGGTTAGCACTTTTAAATCGGGGGCAGCTGTATATGAATACTCAAAGTCTCTGACTTATCCGTTTAAGCCTATGTCTCCCATAAAAGGGCGTTTGTTTTGCAAACACGAAATGGTGATTTTTGAATAGTTGCAAGTGATGGAGATACAAAGTTTAATATATTGTTTGTTCCATTAGTCTAATAATAACTAAAAACTTGGAGGTTATCTATCCCTTAACTTAAAACTTGGAGATTATCTATCCCTTAACTAAAAAAAGTTAGAGGTTATCTATCCCTTAACTAAAAACTTGGAGGTTATCTATCCCTTAACTAAAAACTTGGAGGTTATCTTTCCCTTAACTAAAAACTTGGAGGTTATCTATCCCTTAACTTAAAACTTGGAGGTTATCTATCCCTTAACTAAAAACTTGGAGGTTATCTATCCCTTAACTAAAAACTTGGTAGTTATCTATATCTCAACTATCGATAAATAATTTGAATTTTAACCGCATATTTTTACAGTGAACATATACAATACATTTTAAACAAGGTAGGTTACATTGTTAATTTAGTTTCTTTAGTTACAGTTCATAAAATCATATGAAACTCACATGCTTTATCAAATAGCGATTTATCTAGTTTAGATCTTATGTTTTCTCCAATTGTTAAGAATATATTTTTAGGCAGAAATAAGTATTTGAAAATTTGTTTAATAATTGTTTTATTCAATAAAAAAGAAAGTAACAAATCAGAGGTGTTTTTAAGCAAAGAAGGTCTGGTTAATTTGTGTTAATCTCGGTAGCAGTGGATTCATCAAATTTACTTACTGATCGTACTTCAAAACTAACATAGTAAATATGTTTGTTGGAGATGCTCCAACAATAACACGGTAAATGTGTTTGTTTGAGATGCTTCAAAAATGAAGGACTAATTAATTAGATTTAATCTCGGCAGTAGTGGATTCATCAAATTTATTTACTGATCGTACTTCCAGAACTAACATAGTAAATATGTTTGTTGGAGATGCTTCAAAAATATCATAATAAGTATGTTTGTTGGAGATGCTTCAAAAATAACATAATAAATGTGTTTGTTGAAGATGCTTCAACAATAACACAGTAAATGTGTTTGTTGAAGATGCTTCAACAATAACACAGTAAATGTGTTTGTTTGAGATGCTTCAACAATAACACAGTAAATGTGTTTGTTTGAGATGTTTCAAAAATAACCCAGTAAATATGTTTGTTGGAGATGCTTCAACAATAACACAGTAAATCTGTACTGACCAGTACTTTTAATCTACTTTACTCATCGCATTAAACGACTAAATGCTTATTAAATTTTAATTGAACAACAAATCACTGAGGAGAGACGAACAAAGAAGTTGGTTAAAGAACTGTATAAATTGTATACGTCAATGCAACTGTTTTGGAAAAGAGCATATTTATTGATTTTTTTGAAAACAGATTTTGAATTCTTTTTTTTTTGTTTCACAGACTAAGAGATTATTTTTGTTACTAAAAACTACCTGAGTAGTTACTTAGTCAAAATCATTCGCGCATATTACAGACGTAGAATTCTCAAATAAATAATATTGTTTATTTACACATTTAACCGTGACCTGTTCTATATTTGAGACTTTTCGGTTACTACACACTTTTATACTGATATGAAAAATAAAGCGTTTAATATTACGAAAAAACCCGATGATTTAACTCTTTAGATTCGATTAGTGTGCACCAGCTCTCGCAAGATACACCTATTGTTCCAAACAACAGAATATGTTATTAATTTAAAAATCAAGATATTTTAATGATTTAAAAAGTCTATGTTTATCTGAGTATTGATTGTTTTTATTAGACCTAGAATTGCAAGTGTTAATTTGTGCAGTATATGTCATGTCACTAAGTAAATTTAACTATCCAAACTATATGAAAATTATGTTAATTAAAATATTATATTATGTTTTATTTCAGATTACTGATTTTATTCTGATTTGCAGAATATCCAAACTTAGTCAGAGCTACTGATTCTTCTTGTTTTATTAATGGGTTTCAAATCATTAGCCCAACCCTCTCCCAGTGGCACAGCGGTATGTCTGCGGATTTACAACGCTAGAAACCGGGTTTCGATATCCGTGGTGAGCAGAGCACAGATATACCATTGTGTAGCTATGGTCTTAACTACAAACAAGCAAATCAAATCTTTAGCCTGTCTGATTCACCGGTTTAAAACATTGGCCAATATTCTGATTCTTTCTGTCTTATTCTCGCGTTTTACGTCATTAATTTTAAGTTATGGATTCTGTCTGTCGTATTTGGGGTTTTTAAAATTAACTGAATTAATGACATCCAGTTTGATTCACAGGTTTTAGAAATTGATCAGGTTACTGATTCTACTTACCTTATTCACAGGTTTCAAAACATTATCTAAGATGATAACTTATTATCTCACTCAAAAGTTTCGATAATTAATCAGGTTCATGATTTTTTCTTTCTGATTCGCTGGCTTCAAGATAATTGAAGTTAATCTCATCTTTTTTACAACTCACAAACTTCCAAAAACTAGTCAGATATTTTTACCTTATTTGATTGAGAGATTTCAAACATTAGTCTGCTTACTGACAACTCCTGTCTGATTTGAAAAACACACATGTTACTTGCAATTATTATCTGATCTTTAGTTTTTTTACTGGTATCGGAAAAATCCACCCTTCAAATTTAGATATTTTGTTGAGGACAGTTCACCAACCTCTATTAAACTAAAAGTGTATGTGATGGTTACTGTTCTTTTTCGTGTCTAAAAATAAACTTAACAGTGCCGAAGATGAATTGTTAATTGATAGAACTGTTCGAATTCTGGGAGAGGTTTTTGTTTTATGTTATTAATGATGCTGTTATGCTTTTTTTTTTTACTTTAATCTCATTTTGGTTTTATCTTTGTTTCATAACCATTAAAATATATAATCAAGCGTAGGATGTACATAGAGTTAATCACCACTGCTAATGCAGTGGCATGTTACTGTAGATGTAAGCTGTAATACCATGAACAATATAATTGGCACTTATATATTTGGTTCACGGCGAATTCCTGAATATTCGACA